TCAGTTAAGCCAGAATGTAAGCATATTTCATTCCTCACAGCTATGTGTTTGTCAGGCTGGATGTCACCGTATACACCACAGGGGTTGCTACCAGGTCAGAAGCAGGAGAGTACCAGTCACACCTGGAAAATAAGAAATTTATAGAATCTGGGCTTAAAATGTTGGGGTTTTTTCTGACTGCTTGTCAAGAGTGGGTTTTTTACACTTATCCAAGGTTCAGAAGTGGGTGACGCAGAAATAAGCTATGATATTTAGTGTCTGCCTGGAGCAAAGTACAGAGGGTTGCTATAGCAGGGAGATCTAAAATGATGTGCATGTCCATGGATGCAGAAGAATAACTGTTGCTATTATATACTTGTTATATATACAATATAACTGTTGTTAATACAATTTTTGTGAAGGCATTGCAACAGAGAGAAATGGCTGTGGCAGTCCAGACTGATGGATCCACCGGGCTGTACCCTGCCTGCCACAGCAGCAGGCACCTCAGGAGCATCAAAGACAGACTAGGCTTGGGTCAGATTTGCCCTAAGCACTTTTCCAGATCCCAAATGTTTTTGTCTCAGGGGATTTCCAGACCTGCTGTTTGTGTGTTTAGGGTGTGCCTGCATTAGCATTTTAACTTTGAGTAGGATCTTTTTTGATGTGAAGCTTTGGCTCAGCAGAGCAGTCATAGGGCACCCATGTGGAGTCCTTCCAATCATAGCTAACCTGGAAGGTGTCCTCCAGAAGAGCTCCTAATTCCTCCAGCCCCTACTGAGGATGCCCAGGAGACTAGATCCTTGCACTGAAATAACCTCTCAGAGGCAGCCAGTGGTGTCTGATGTAGATGCCACCACTTGCCTGATCCCACAGATCCACCTTGCTGATGTGGTGCAGCTGTAGCACCCCTGAATCCTTCACTTCCAGGGGTGTCTTTAGGCCCTTCTTGAACCCATGTAATATTTTGGGAGCCTGCACTGGGGTTTTCTTGACAAAATGTGTACAGATCTCATACCTTATCTGAACTACTTGAATTTAACCAGGCTGCTCTGCTCTGCTCTTCTACCAGCTCCCTTTGGTGATCTTGCTTTTGTGTTGGACAGGCAATGGATCTGATCCTCACCCACTTCTCTGCTCATGATTATGTGGAGGGCAGGGTCTTCTCCTGCACTTACTTAGGTTTGTGGTGCTCAAGGACAGGATAAAATTGAATTCAGTGCTTTAGAAAAATCATCATTTCACTTGGCTAGTATTAAAGTATGTCTGGTACCATGAAGTCAGCTGAAGTTGAACAAATTAACCTTCTCTTGCCAACGATTATAGAGTAATAGATATAGTGATAACATGGTTTGTGGCTACGTAAATTGACTTCAGCAAGTCTTTTGATGCCCTGGCTGTTAAATATTTCCACGTAACAATTTTAAAAGCAAGCTAGGCTAAAGCAGTTTGGCAGGAATTGCAGCAGAAGGACAAAAAGCTGTTTAGGAAATCATGTCCAGAGAGAAGTCAGTGAGAGCTCGCTGTTAAAATAGAAGGATGGCTACAGCAGCATTCCTCCGTGTCTGCCTTGGGCCTAGCACCAGACCACATTTTCATTAATCATTTAGGTGACGGAACAGAATGTGTTTGCCTATTAAATATGTAGATGACACCATGCTGAGAGGGGCTGCGAGTCCTTTGGAGACAGGATGAGAACTCAAAAAATGGAGATGTGATCTGAATAGGAGCAGGTGTGAGGTATACATTTAGGCAGGAATGATGAACTGCACAAATGTGGGATGGGGAATGTTGGCAGCTTCTTGCAGGCTCTACCTTTCCCTGCAGACCACTCTCAGTACTTCAAATATTAGTGGCACACAGAGTACCCTCAGCCGCTGTTGTTTTTCTTTCTCCAGAATTTGTCAGGACTTGGGCTTGTCGAGGCTCAGGGCTCAGCTGGGCACTGTATTCTGTAACTGGGTTTCCTTATGAGGCCCTGAGAGCGACCATTGGACAGCGAGCTGATAACAGCCATGCACACAGAGGCTTCCCCTCACATACATGCAGTAATTTCTTGCACACAATGTCCTGTTTCCCTGAACTGGTTACTGCCATTGTCACACTGTTTGTAACACACTGATCTCCTGAGTGCAGAAGGTGCAGGTATTAGCAATGCCACTTATTCTGTCATGTGCAAGCTTTGGCCAGGTCTTTGAGAAACAGCCAATTCAATGTCACTTCTTTCTCAGAGGATGATCTAGGAATGCTGAATCTAATATTTATGGAAATACTGTAGAAAATGCAAATTTTTTCCAGCCAGGTGGTGTCCAGGGGAGGGTATCCTGCAGAACATTCAGGAAATCAAGCTTTGCTTGATGCTTTGCATTATTTTGTCCAGTTTGGTGAGACTAGAGAATGAGAATCAGAACCTAGCAAAGAAGACTGACAGGGAAGGATTAATCTAACAACAAAGGGGATCTGTGAACAGTCTTCAAATGCATGAAGATACAATGAAGGGAATCATTTTTCCCCCACTTTCACAGATTAAACTTCTCATGCTGTAATGAATGCTGAAGTTGTACGTTCTGATGACACAGCTGTCCAAGCAGCAGAGATTTCCTGGAGAGATCCATAAGAGCAGGACAGAAAAATCTTTCTTGGGAATGATGGAAGTACAGGAGTCCCAAGAAGGGGTCCTGAGACAGGGTTGGGAGTCTTTCTGTCAGGTGAGAGTCTGGTGCATCCAGAGAGATTACCTGTGAAGGGAAATGGAAATGAGCCTCCACCCAAACTTGCAGCCCTGTGTTTGAAATTTTGAATGATGTATTAACAATTGAAAGGTGTTTGCAAAGATGGAGAGCTGGATGCCTGTACAGACAGACTTTCTTCCTTGCCCCCACCATGATCTGCTCTGTGTCCTCAGTCATTTAGGTTTGCTTTGTTTATTTGTCATGGAGTGTTGTTTATACTGTTTCCATCTTACCTGTTTCCCATTTTTTTTTAGTATTATTCCTGAAAGTTTCATACTTGAAACCTTTAGGCATAGCATGTCTGTGAGAAAAATTTCTAAAACTAGGAACTAAAGCCACATTCCTAAAAACAGTGTCAGAGACCAAAAGCAGACATAATTTAAATTAGTCAATAGGAAATACAATTTTTCATTACATCTTAATTTTAGAGTACATATTTAGAGTACATATTTAGAATTTGTAGAATTTCTGTTGAAGAAATTCTGGTTTGTTTATTTTATGGGGTTATAACTTACTTCAAGGCTTTTGTGCATTATTTTCTTTCTCTTTTTTTTAATTAAAAATTTTAATAATCAAAATAATGTTTAACTGGGAAAATTGGTACTATTTGTTACAATTCTTATTTATGGTTAAATACAGTAGGTGATATAGCAGTCAGCATTCAAAGTTTAAATACTTTACATAAATATTCTAAAGTGTGCATTGTCATAGGAAAAGATATATGTTCTTGGGATGTGTAGATAGATGTGGCTGGATAATTTTTGCTGTTTGACGCATATAGAATCACTCTTTTAGTATAGGTAAGATGTCTTCAGAAGATTCCGTGTTTAACCTTGAGTTGCATCTTAACTTGTTCTGATTTGTTTGATGTAGCCTGAAATATTTAGGTAAATATCTAATGTGAAATATGTAAGATATGCTAATTCTCAAGAAGTGTAGATTTGAAGGCTGAGCATGAGAATTTCAAGACCTTTTCCCTTTGTTCAGCACAAGCAACTGTTATTATTTTGAGTAACTGTGCATATGTGGTGTTACACAGATGTCCAGTCTCCTCCTTAATCTAACCTTTGACCTCAACAGGATGTTTTCCTAGGAGAGAGAATCCCTTGTGTGAGAAGTATACCTGTCTGTTCAAGCTGGAATGCCATGGTCTAGGCAGATTCAAATGAAAAATTTTGTATCTTCTGAACTCTAAAGAGTAGCTAATATTAACTGAACAGTGAAATTGAGAAACATGAAAATTTCAGCTGCCTTCACTAAAGTAGTTTTTTTAGGAAAAACAAAAGAAATCATGGTGACCATCAAAATAAAAGTATTTGTGAAATTCAGACTATGAAAGGAGGTTTTCAAAAGAGATGTAAAAATGTGTTGTTGCATTTCTAAGGACCCTGGTACTGCTAATTAAATTAATGGGAATGATAATTGATGCTCAGTGTCTGCTTTGTTAATGTGCAAGCATTCAATATGATAGAGTCTATCAATTTTAAGAGTAGCAAAATATCTTCAAGCTAGCATGTTGTCAGAAAAACTCTGTTGATCTTAGCCACATGAATCATCATTTTTTTTTCACCTGTTCAATAACAGTAAATATTCTTATAAGTAAATGTTGCTGAAGCATAATAATTAGCATACAATATTAAAGATTTATAGCCTGTCTTGAAGTTACTCATTGGAAATGTTCAGTGTTGTGTAGGCCTTTGAAAAATACTAGAAATATCATCTTCATAGTTGATAAATATTTAACACCTATTAATTTAAATTACCATAGGAAAATAATGATTTATGCTATATTGAAGAATAATCCAATTCTTCTGGCTCAAATGTAGAAATCTAAAAGTGTCTCCAACCAGGCAATTTGGGAATTTTTTTCATTTCTATATCTCTGGGTTTTTTTCACACCTGCTTGGATTTTTTCTTACCTGTCCCCATGACAGGTTATTTTAAAGCATTTAATGTACTTAAGTTTGAAAAGCTTGAGTTAAATTACTGTTGTTTTATGAAAAACTGATATCCCTTAGAATTGTTTGTTTAGAGTTTTGTCTTGTAATAATTGAAGGAATGAGGCAATTAAGTTTTTTTTTACTGAGTCTTTCATAGGTGTTTACTGAGATAGTTTATCAGTCTGTTTTCACACATAACTTGAGGTAGATTGAACTAATTTATGAATCAATATTACCACTTACCGTTTTATATATAATTATTTTAGTTAGGACTGGGTTTCATGTAAACAAGTTGAACATTTTGAACATTGAACTGAAGGGTAAAAGTGTTCTTTCTTTACTACAACAGAATACAGTACAATCCACAGTCCATCAACCCCCATTAAAGATTCAGATTCAGATAGATTGCGTCGTAGCTCAGATGGGAAATCACGTGGACGTGGCAGAAGAAACAATAATCCTTCACCACCACCTGACTCTGATCTGGAGGTATTTTATATTAAATGTCTTAGGCCTGTTATAGAACTTTATTTTTATCATTACTTTGCACAAAGAAGCGTTGTTTATACATCAAAAACAAAGTGGAATTGAAGCTCCCTTTTTCCTAACAGCGTTTTCATAGAAAATAGGATTTTTCTTCTAAAAAACCTTCTTCATGAAGAGCTCCTACTTTCTTGGAAAAATACTGGGTGTTTCTTTCTCCTTTTGATTAAACAAAGCAAACAAACAAACAAACCAAACCAAAACAAAAGGAAAAAGAAAAAAAAAAAAAAAAGAAAGAAAAAAAAGGAGCAAGCTTTTCCCAAGGCAAAGAAAGGTTTTCATTTGGTCAGGAGACACTTCTAGCACAATAGTGGGGTTTGTTCTCTCATGCTATGTTCACATTCCTCCCAGTGGCCCATGGTTTATGTTGAGAACACATCTCCAATGACACACCATGGCTATGAGTGTCCACACAGCATTACTTTTCCTTTCCAGAAGCTTACCCCATTTGTCATCATGGGAAATACAATCTCACCAGGATTTAAAATACTTGTATTTGAACACTTTATTTTTCATTAAGTTATCATTTTGTGTGTGGTCGGAGAACAAATTTAAAACACATATTTTCCATTGTCTTTAAGCATAAGAATTCTTTACTGATGCCATAAGTTTTATATATACAGCATCCAAGTTCATAGTTTTTGTTCTTCAGATGCATAAAATGCATTACAACTAACATAAGTTAAGGGAAATTAAGTGCCTAGCAGCAATCTGCTTTGTTTTGATTTTAGAGGTAATTTTCAAGGGCACTTACATAAATTTTTGTAAGACTTTTCTTTAATAAGACATGCAGAAATACAGAATTCTAAACCTGAAGATTTAATTTTGAGATGCTTCTCCTTATTTATTTCAGTTTCTATCTCACATCAAGCTTTAAAAACTGCATTGTACAGTTTCATTTTCTGCGTATATTTGATGATACTGGAATCCTATTATAATACAAGGATTTTATATGATAGCAATTGTAGTAAAAAGATAATAGATTGTGTTACCCTACCCAGGATAAAAAAAACAACTTGTTAGTTTTGAAAATAAATGGCAGGGAAGCTATGGTTTTAATATGCAGCCATTTCAGTATAATTTTCCCATTTGTGTGCCTACTGATTCAAATTTTAACTTTAATTTCAAGTATTAGCTTCACAAAAGAACACATTGATTTGATTCTCTTTTTACAGAGAGTATTCATTTGGGATTTGGATGAGACAATCATCATTTTCCATTCCTTGCTTACAGGGTCCTATGCTAACAGATATGGACGGGTAAGTGTCAAGAAACTGATGGAAATGTTCAGTAATATTTGCTGGTTTATGGTTGATACACAAGGAATTTCAGAACATTAGCTGATTTTTAGAGGCACACTGGTACTGGCGTTACAAGACAAAAAAAATCAAGGTGTTTCACATGTCCATTCTTTGCAGTTACTCAGCTCTTGTATTCAGCACATATTTAAGTAGTGTTGGGAATAATACTTGGACCACTTGAGGTTTGGTTTGTAGATACAGGTTGTCTGAAACCTGTGATATAATAACAATCTGCAAAAGTCTACATCCCCTCAGAGAGTGAAGAATTTCCAGAAATGATTGCTATGACAGATTGGCTGTGCTCTGTACTGAGAGAGAAAGAGGAAGAATGCTTTTGGACATGGCCAGATTAGTCTTAAATTTTTTACCTTAGAATTTTTTTTTTTAATCTAAATATTGACTGATGTTTTTGAAAGTCCTCTTTTGAGTAAAATCTTTTTATTATGCACAGTCTATAAATCATAACTGAACTGATGAATATGTCTATAGACAGCGCATTTCCTTGGTAATTCTCAGAAGAGAAACATGATTTTAGGTGAATAAGGACAGTTTATGAATGGAATGTCCTTATGAGATCAGACTTCTTTTTTTCAGGATTGTATTTGAAAGCTGACAGCTTTTGCTAAAATCTGTTATAGCCTTTTATGTTCACCTCATGTGAGTGAACCTCACTGCAGTTACAACCTCAAAGTTATAACTGGAATGCGATATTTTGTTAACCTCAAAAATTCTACATGTGAAGAACAGCTACATAGTTTTGTCTGGCTTCATGTAATGCTTCTGTGTTCTTGTAAAGCTTCAATTTAGCACTGAAAGGTTTTACCCCACACTCAGCTGAGTGAAAGGCAAAGCTACCTCCAGTTCAGTCTGTGCCTGGGTCAGGTTCTGAGTTTCTCTCAATAGCTTTTTGCACCATACAAATCTAAAGCAGTAACTTTACAACCTTTTTTGCTTGTTCAGGTAAGGTTTGTTTGCAGAAATGTTTACTGTAATAGCAGTGTACCTGTTTGAGGAATATAATTAGCTTTTTTTCATTATATGTCAGAAAAGCAGGTTAATTCAGCAGCCTTGGTTTCCTAGGTGTTGTTAGTTTATATTTAGTTAATTCAACAGCCTTGGTTTCCTAGGTGTTGTTAGTTTATATTTAGTTAATTCAACAGCCTTGGTTTCCTAGGTGTTGTTAGTTTATATTTAGGCAGAAAAAAACCATAGAACTTAAATGTCTCAACAATTACTGTATGGATCTGTATGGACAAAAGCATTATAGAAGAGTATTAAATATTTACCAAAAGTTATTTTCCATTTTTCAGACCAAAACCAGCTTTTGTGTGTTATCCCAAAATCTATTACAATTTAGTTCAGAATGAGGAGAGCAAGTCCCAGTGCTCACAAAAAAGCTGTGACGACAGAATCTCACCACTGGCTTTTGGGCAGCAGAGTAGCGCTGGAAAAGCCTAATTAATTAATCATTGCCATAGAAGTACTAATGTGAGCATATTTTTTCCATTTGTTACTAGTTCCCTGTAGTGGATTCATTAATTGGAGCCTGAACATAAACACTTTATTGCTGGATGGTTGAAGCTGAGGAAAGTGGCTGGTATTCAGTTGCAAAGAGATATAAATATGTGCTCTGCAAGGAGGGGGCTGACTCCTGGGTGCAGCTCCATCACTGTTGGCACTATTTACATAAGATGTAGCTTTTGCCCAGCTGGCTCTGGTTGCTGAAACAATATTCCTGCATTGCTAAATGACAGCCAACTGTTGATGTTGAGAGGAATGATGGCGTTACTGCTTAACCTCTGGATAAATACAAAACCTTTTTGGTGAGGGGTAGCAACATGCCTGTCCTTGGTTCTCAGATGATGTCATGAAACTGTGCCATTCTGGTTATGTTTTCTTAGGTTTCATTCAAATCAGAGTTTCTCTTGGGCTATTGACAGCTTTGGACAACAGCTAGCAATTTCCAAGGGTGTTAGAGAAAGACAGTGTCAAATGTTCAAAGCAAACATTGTAAAATATGAGAATTTTAGGGTTTATTTATGGCAGCAGCAATTGCATGTTTTTAAAAGAGTGTTTTCCTGATTACTGGCCTTTAAATTCAGAAGTCTGGAGCATAAATTAATCTGAAATAAAAGAAAGTTGAGGAGAATTATTTTCTTTTCATCTGTATTCTTGTTTATGAGCAATCTAACATCATGTTCTCTTATAAATCTGCACTATAGTGAGGGCTAGAAGTGCCCTTTTAAAAAATTAAATCTAGGATGATCACATAATCATTAAAATACAAAAGCTGGATCTTCAAACAAACAAAAATGTCCTAATTAAATAATAGGGGATTTGGCAACTTGGCATTCAGCTCTTTTCATAATGCCTGAGCGAGTTTCATGGTGAATGACTATGAATGATGTGCGGCCTTGCTGCTGAAGGGATCGATTTTCTTTGCCTAATTCTCTACCTCATTCCTCCTAACTTCTTCCTTGTGCCAGCCTTTTCTGTATCTTCTTACTTTTTCATCTGTTTTTTATCACCTGCTCTCCTTTAGCTCCTATTGTGCTCTATTTTCCTCCTGCTTTTTTCCTTCAGTTTTGGTGTAACAAAATAATACCTTTATTTTTCAGTTTGCACAGTCATGACAAAAATGACTCCATAAAGTACGTTTTTATTTAAAGATTATTTGAATTTAGTGATATTAATGGAAATATATGAAACTCTAAGAACATGCCCTTCCAGAAGATTAGACAGAGAAACAAAACATTTCCATTTGCTTTTGGATTTTTTTAACTATGTACAGAGAGAGATGTATTGATCAAATATAAAGTTACCAGTTAGTTTAACTGACATTAGTACAGATTAAGTTTTGGAATTGGGAAAAAGTTGGAGCCCTTTAGGATCCTGGAGCAGGTGAAAATATATCTCAATTGGCAGAGAGTACTGTGATCTTTACATACATTTCCATCCTCAGTGAAAGCAGTTATATGCAGAGGTTTTAAAGGAATTTTCCTTTAAATTATAAGCTATTTTATTGTGGTTTAATATACTTTAGAGATAGAGAAAAACAAAGCCTGGTTTCACTTAACCCTTCATTTGTGACCTGTAGGCTTAAGTGGAAAATAAGCCTTGTACCCAAAGTGAACTTTCCTGTTTTTCAGCTTCTTGTTTCTCCACAAAACAAAGAAATCAAGTAGGTAGAATTTAGAAATGACATACAGGCAGTATTTTGGCTCCAATGCCAGTATTCAAAACAAAAGGCCTACTTAAGCAGTTTGACATTGGTATTTCTTTTCTTTAGTTAAACTGTACCTCCCTCAGAGATTTGTACCTGATTTTGACCATACCTGAAAAGGCACTGACTGAACCTGCAAATCCCAGGCAACAAGAAGAGATTGTTAGCTTTCCTACTCATTGTGTGACACCTCACAGTAATTAGTTAGCAATTAGTGGCTTAAAATTGCAAAAGAAGGCTGGGTATGGGATTACTTTTTTAAAACCTTGTTCTAGCCTTGTCTTTTTTTAAAGTTTACAGCCCCCACTGTAATATCTGATGGCAGAGTTTGATATTCTGTGGTGCTTTAAATCAAGGTTCTTGTGCTTTTCATTAGAGCAGTTGCAAGTTTGTGACTACACAGATATTTAAAATGCTAATGCAGATAAGGGTTTTGCTTCTGTTAAATATGTATCTACCAAGAGCCACAGTTTAACATGGTTTTTGTGTTAAGTGGAACTTCTTATACAAAAAGATTCTATTTAATATAGGAGTTAAGCTTTCTTTGGAAAGCAATCCATTTTGTTTCTTCCTTTAGCTTTTGTGTTATTTAATCTGACACTTTCAGTAGGTGCCAATGAGTTTCTTCCATTTTTTCTGCCTAATTAAATTAACCTAATTAATGACATTATTTTAGTATTACTTTGGAGAAAACCATTCTGTTTTACTTCTGTCATGTAAAAATACCTTGGAGTAAAATGGTTAGAAAGCTTTACAAAAACTTCTTTTTACAGACTCAAAAATGTGATAAAAATGTTCAATAATAAAAAAAGCAAGTCGTGTACTCTGAAATTTAAACTATATATTTGCAGCCAGTTGTTTAAAATTAGTCAAATGGGTTCATAACCAATATCATGCTCTGTTGCCCATTTATTCTGCTTTTTAAAATTATGTTCCTAATTAGGGGTGGAAGTCAGAAGGGAATTATTTCTACCTTGTTGCATTAGTAGTTGATAATCAAGATGCAGCTAGTGATCCTGGTTTGCATCTTAGACCTTTAGCTCATCTAATTCCTTTAATAAATAAAGCAGAGGCTTCTGTGAGGTGGCTTCTGTTACTGCTCAGGCACAACAGAAATCTGAATTTAAATCTGTTTAAGAAAAAGAAGCCCTATGAACTGTGTAGGATGATGAGGCACTAACTGGGCACAAAGATAAGCAGAAATGCCAAAGGGAGAAGAAGCCTCAGGTCTAGCTAGAGAGAAAATACCACCTGCTTTCCACCTCACATGCCTACAAAAGTACAGCAGAGGAAGGCGTAGGTCTAGAAATAGAGCAGTATTAAAACAGAGAGACAGAATATTTTTGTTCATATTTTAAAGTCTTTCCATTTGAATTAAGAAGCCAATTTTTTTTGTCTGCTCCAGTTTCAATAGAAGACTTATTTTAAAGGCAAAGTCCATCAAAATAACATGATGCAACTTTTTTCCCCGTTTATAGGGACTATTTTTTTTTTTATTTTAAAAAACTCTTAAAGGTTGTGAGTTCAAGAATAGATGTTTTGTCTGCTCAATGTAGCTTTGCTTTGAAATTTCAAAAATTATTTTGCTGGATAGCAGTTCTTGGGTTTTGGCATTTCCAGAAGGCAAACAGGCTGCCAAATCACCATTCTTTTCCAGCTCCTTACTACTGACACATTTTGCCTTTTTAACCAGTAGTTACAGAAAAATGTTTACAAGTTCAGAGATCATGTTGAAGCACCTATTAATTTGATTGAGAGGTGGAAAAAGAAAATAAGGACTACATCTCTTGCTTTTTAACTGTGACTTGTCATCAAGTTTAGAATATTAGCTTATTTTAAGTAAAATATGGGTTGTCACTTCTTCAGTTCTATTTAAAATATAATTCCTAACAAACTAACATTATTAATAGAGGCTGTTACGGGATAGCTTAACATATTCTTTCAACCTCATGCTCCTGTGCACTTGGATAGACTTGGCATTATAAATGAGAAACTCTATATCAAATGTATGTATTAGGCTCTCTTTTCAATTTTTCAGATTGAAAATATATAAAACACCAAAAAAAAATCAAAACAAGACAAACATCTGTAATGCATTTGGTAACCACAATGCTGAACATGCTTTTTGAGTTTATTAGCTCAGTAAGGAATAAGTTGTTATGGTAATTTCTGTAGAGAACTTGAAGTGTGTTATGTATTAATAACAAACAATAGTTTTGTTCACCCTGCATGGGTGGGCCAAACCGGAAACATAATTAAAGCCTGGGTTCATGGACAATCAAGGAGTGGTTTTAAATATAATTGCCATTTGCAAACAAAACATCAATAGTTCTTTGCTTTAAAGTCACTAGGTAGTCCCAGGACTGAATCCTGTCATTTGTGATCAGTGAGAGTTTATTTTAAGTAAAAATTGTACCATCATACCCCTGGTTGATCATAAAACTTGTGAACAGTTGTAGAATCTGGAGAGGTTTTAGGTGAAATGGATTTGCCCTTTCTGCACAGAGAGCAAAGAGCCAGTGCTGGGGCTGCACGAGGGTGACCACAGAAGTCCCTCAGCAAAGTCAGGGAGTCAGTTGAGTTAAAGTCATATTTTTGAGTGTTACTGGGAAATGTTGTAGTACAGGGTGAGACAGTAACTGAACCGAAACTGACAAAGCAGATGTTGCATTTAATACAAGCAGTATGTTACGAAAAGCTGTTCCCCCAGTCTGTATTTGGGAATATATGTTAGGCACAGTATTGATGGTATATTTGCTTAATTTCTTCTTTTAGGATCCTCCCACTTCTGTGTCCCTTGGACTCCGAATGGAAGAGATGATTTTCAATTTGGCGGACACACATCTATTCTTTAACGATTTAGAAGTAAGTGTTCATTTTTTAAAACACACAGAGATGATCTAATATTTACTATTTGTCTGGTTTTATGTGTTGTTAGATGGTTTGACAATTATTTGCAGAGTTTCAATATGGAAATGCCTAGAAAATAGCTGTATCATTTAGTCATTAGGATATATAATAATATCTACACTAAATGTCTGCACTGGCTTTCAAAGGTTACTACAGTTAAAGTGGTAGAGTTTTGTCCTCACAGGTTTTAGCACTTACGGTGACAGTAGACAAGTTGCAGAAGTGGATACACTGAAAGAACCTATAAACATAAAGAATTCAGTAGTCTGCACAGACCATTAAATATTAAACTCCAGCTTCTGTAAGCAGTTGATGGCTGGGTACGGATTTCTTGCTTACATCCCAGGGTGGGCCAGTGTTACCTTAGCCCCGAGGGACATCATTAATGTTGTATGGGCTGTCCTTGGGCTGTTCCTGGGGCTGCTCTGCCTGCAGCAGGCACGGGGTGTTCTGTGCCAGGGTGCCTCTGCCTGCAGCCAGGAGCTGCAGGAGCCTTGCCAAGGGCTTTTTTAGCCTACACAGCCTATGGTTTGGCGACTCTTGGGAGATTGTTCCAGACTTCTCCAGACTGCTGAAAGAGACCGTCACTGCAGTGCCTGGATGTTTCATCTTAAAAGGGAAAAAAGCAATTTCTGATCACATTTTAATAACACAAAAACATGAAAACAGTCAGATTTCTTTCCCATCATAGTGAAGACAGCTGTTTATTTAAAATCCAGCTGTTAAGCAAGCTTGTGGTGGGGCTGCCAACACACATTAATCATCAAGTTGTTGTTTTGCTAGATTTTAGAATAGTGTGTTATTCCAGACAGCAAAAGAATCTAAAAGATTCAAATGCAACTTTTGCTGATCAAAGTTAATTGGCAGCAATTGGCCTTTAAATATTTCCTGATGTTTCCCTTTTCAAAATCAAGCAAAATACACCTTATTCAATAGATGAGCCAAAATAATTTGAAAAATTCCAGTGTGTGATAGACCTCAAATGTGGTTTGTCCAACATCTGTCCTATATTTTGATTTCTTTTCATCTAAAAAGAAACCACTCACAGATGATCTGGCATCTTAGAACGTAATGAAATTATTGAACATGTTTTTTTTTTTCCTTCCATTCCTTACAGTATTTATTTTTTATACTTACAGTAAAATAGCTGGTTTCTTTAAATTTTAAAGTAGCATTTTCTTCCATTAAGGTAGCTGTATTTAAAGATATGATTGTTTTGGATATAAGAAGTACCATCAATGAGTTGCATGTATAGGAATTATTTTTCAGATTTGTTTAAAAATATGACAATGCTAGTTACTTTCCAACTCTGTGTCTGTTTTCTGGTTATATTTCATTTTAACCAGAGCACAATGAAAAAGTACTACTCTTCCTGTATTTTAGCAGTATATTTAATAAAGTTCAATGTGTTTTTATTTGCTATTCAGAGCCAGATATTTAGCTACTTCATACACGATTGTCAGCCTTACTGACTTTAATGGAAGTTAATCAATCACCCTGATTATTAGCATTAGGGGTGCTAGATTATCTTCTGCTAATAGACATTTGCACCCTTAATAATACAGCACCATAGTTCATTCACTCAAGAGCTTTGAAGCTGTGTATGAGAAAACTGCTCCAGGTGGTACATGAAGGCCGAGGGGCTCACTGATAAGCCTGATTCTTTGCATTTCCACCAAAACAAGCCAGTTTATGTTGCATGTCCAAACTGAGGTGTAATAGTTTCTGTCCATACCCTGGTCTGCCTTCCTCATACACAGAGGCACCCAGGACTGAGCAGCTGTGTGTGTGTCCTTGTGCACGAGCTCTAATCCTTGTGTCTGGAGAACATGAGCTCCAGTCTGAAGGATCATGCCCTGTCTGAGGTGTGAAGAGCATGTGTGGTGTCCATGGACAAGCCTTCAGTGTACACAACGAAAGGGCATAAGAGAAACTGTACTTTATGGAAAGCAGCACATAAGGACTATACCTCATCACAGGCTGAGGCTCTCAGTTCTTCAGCAATGACAGTTTTTTGAAGGTGTGGCAGAGATGTGGTGCTCTTGAAGGAGCACATCCTCCTGGAGCCACAGTTTGTCATTCTTGTGAGCACCACCATTTAACTAGCACAGCTTGCCAGTTTCCCAAGGGCTGTGACCTCAGGGCAGATTCCTCACACCCATCTCAGAAACTCGAAAGGCCTTGCTTGGTGGTTTGGAAGTTCAGGCTGCTCACAGCTTGACAGACTTTCATGAGAACTGTGGATGATTTGGTTTGGATATGCCTCAGGCTTAAATCATCTATTCTCACTGATGAAGGACTGAGTCTGAAAGCTTAGCTCAGGTCTAAGCTTTCCAGTTCATGAGCACAAGTATCTGGGCTGTTGGGATTGAAAATGTTTGTAGGTACCATTGCCAGAGAGCTGCAGATCTTGGGTGTCCTTGCCCAGCAGTGGTATGTAGAACAGCAAAGCTGTATTTGGAACATATCTAACCCACAGAGTAGATGTGTCATTGAGTCTAGGCTTAATTCACAGTGGGAACCTGAAAGCTGATGCCCTCTGTCTCACCCAGGCTCAGAGGGAACCCTTCTTGGCACACAGAGAGGCCACTTTTAAAGGCAGGCAATCATCTGTCATAACTTTGGCCTATGATGCACATTTTTCCAGATACCACAAGTTAATGTTTTTAAATAAAAATATTCTTTTATCCAACACATTCCAGAAAACTCTATAATCAGAATAGCTCTCTTGTGATCCAAGTGAAAATACTTTTTCTTCCTCTAAAATGCTGATTGAACATTTTGAATGCAAAGAACAGAGTTGCAGCAGTTGTGATCTCTGAAGCACAGTTTGATTGATGTGTGCCCTAACTGGCTTTTCAAAGCTCAGCCTAGAGATTTAGTAGTGTTATTAGGTTAAATTCTAAACTTTGGCAGTCAATTTTTTAGTCTGTATAAAGTGAATCGATGCCAATGTGTATCAGTTTAATTTAGTAGGGGGTACAGCCAGGTAAATGAATCATTTATTTTCATATATGTTGTTCTTTATGTAATAGTAATAATAATTAAAATAATAGTAATATTTGTAATTGAAAATTTCAAACTCATTGAAAAAATCCAGTCAGATCTCACTATCTAGCTCTGAAGTCAGTATTCTGTTTCTGGATGGGTGAGCTACAGTTAGATTTGCGCCCTTGTACTAGTTCTTATTTTATTACTTTGAAAAAAATAAATTGCTTATTTCCTTTACTTTGCACAGATATGTTTGGAGTAATTAATTCCAAAGTGATGTAATAGCAAATAATTTCCGATCTTTAGGAGCATTCCTTAAACAACATGTTAAAGGGGTATGACAAGATTTTTAACATACTGAAAAGGAAAATATTAATGCTCACTTATGTATAATTTGATCTAAGTGCCATAATAAACTGTGTTTTCTTGAATTAGCAGTAATTTCATAATGAACTTATAGAAGTGAACTAGGCTAAATAGTAGAAGATAGTGCCATGTTCTAAAAATTTAGCTTCCAAAAATCTGCATCTGGGCTTCCAAACAAGAGCTTTAGGTTTTCAGTATTGAAGTTGTTTATTTAAATACCTCATACTCTCTGTTTTATAGTTGAATTTTAATTGTGTGCAAGAGGGAATAACTACATTGATGTAGTGCTCTCAAGAGAACCAGTTACCTCATCTGAAAATAATGTTTGATTTTACATGCTGATTATGTTTTGATGGGGATAATAAGGTATAATATTTTAAAGGTGTATATAGAGCAATTACACATATTATGTATTTTAGGAGGTATGCTCCAGTGTTTTGGGGAAACGAGCAGCTTGATGATAGGACTGAAACTTGACATCCACTGAGGTGATCAGCTCTGGTGCAGGAGTGTTCTAGAGCAGAGCAGGAGAGCATGGCTTACAGGGGCGTTGCTCAGCCGGGGAAGCCCCAGGGGAGCAGAGACCCACCAGGAGCCAGCAGCTCTTATGAGAGTGGCTTACTGTCCTGGCACATGCAAGGCCAGGAGTAATGGTGGCCAATCCCTCTTCCCAAAGCTGGCAGCCCTAGTGAGCACTGTGGCCAGGAGCGCCGTGGCCAGGGCAGGCAGACAGGTCATGGTGTGGCATTTACTCGGCAGGGTGCGCAGGGAAGACGACTCAGAGGAGGGACATCCACTGGCCAAGTGTGGACGTGTGAAGTCTGCCAGCAACCAAACACCGTTCTGTAGCCATCTGCACAGGTCAGGGGCTCTCATCCCACCTGACTCCCGAGGCAGAATGGTGGGCACTCATCTGAGAGCAAAGGCTGCAGCTCTGATGGGGCATCTGCACCTGACTGTGGCCAATGCCTCCACACAGACAGGGCTGCTGAAGGGAGAGACTGCAGTGCAGACCTCAGGCTGCAGAAAGGACAGGGACATCAGACCTACCTGCCAAAGTTGTGCCGGGTGGAGCTGATTGGCTCCATCTGTCAGAGAAGAAGAGCATCTTCAGTCAAAGGCTTGAGGGATGGGGCTTTAAACTAAAGCTGCTGCAAGAGAGGAAACCTTAATCTGTCCCACTCCTACCAGTATGATGGCTGCGGCAGCCATAGGTACCCAGAGCCTGGAGAAGGATCACAGCTCAGCAGAAAAGCACCTGAAGAGCATCACAAAGGAATTCCAGCCACTCCAGCCAGTAAGTTGGCTTCATCAGGGGCCCATCTTAAATGCTTCTATGCAAACACATACAATATGGGGAGTAAACAAGAGGAGTTAGAGGCATGTGCATGCCCACAGGTCTGTGATCTTACTGGCATCACAGAGACTCCTGTGATTGGAGTATTGGAATGAAAATATGCAAAGTTTAGGAAGGACAGGCAGGGAGACAAGGAGGGCCTGTGACCCTCTGTGACAGTGGATGTCAATGTTGGAGTGCATGGAGCACTGGCTGGAGATAGATAAGGAGCCAGCTGGGAGCTTATGAGTCAGGATTAAAG